GCCCTCCACCATGCCCTGCTAAATTTTTGTTGGTTTGTTTGTTTGTTTTTGAGACGGAGTCTCGCTCTATCACCCCAGCTGGAGTGCCGTGTTGCCATCTCGGCTCACTGCAAGCTCCGCCTCCTGGGTTCATGCCATTCTCCTACCTCAGCCTCCCCAGTAGCTGGGACTATAGACGCCCACCACCACACCCGGCTAATTTTTTGTATTTTTAGTAGAGACAGGGTTTCACCATGTTAGGTAGGATGGTCTCCATCTCCTGACCTCGTGATCCGCCCACGTTAGCCTCCCAAAGTGCTGAGATTACAGGCGAGAGCCACGGAGCCTGGCTCTTTCTCATATTTATTGAATAATGTTGTTTGCTTTGTTAAAAGAGAGAACTGGTGTTGAAAGTTATCAAATGCCATTTTAGTATCTGTATAAATAATCATATGGTTTTTTTTTCTCCTTAGATTTGTTATTATAATGAAGTATATTACTAGATTTTCTAATATTAAACAGAATAAACCATATTGATTATGCTTTATTATTTAAAGTACTGCTGGATTTTGTTTGCTAATATGTTCTGCTTTATGAAAATAATTTAGAAATTTTCATTCTTAGACTATGCTTTGGAGCTGTTTAAGTAGCAATAGAATTATCAGTTCTTAAACATCTGTTTGTATGTAGGGATGAAATCAAGCTGTTTTGATTTTCTGTGCCTCCTATTTGGGCTTTAAAAAAATGCTTTCTTCTGAGAAAATTACCCATTTCATCCACATTTTCAAATTAATTTGCATGGAATTGATTAGTCATGATTCTTTACAGTTCCTCTGTTTCTAAGGTGGATTCCCTTATCTGTCCTGATTCATCTGTTTGATTAGAGTCTTCCGTAGAAGTTTCCTCATGCAGGTACCTAAATGATATGTCCTCTGAATCTTTGTATATCTTCTCTGGAAAGAAGTGGTATTTTGGCAGGGAGTAGTACTTTTGGGTCTCAGAGTTGCTGTCCTTTATGCCTATATTCTAGACGTTCTGTGGATGTCATTCTATAATCTTTTCTTTCCAGCGTTGTGTATAAGAAGTTCAATACTTTTTCCTTTGAAAACCCCTTGTACTTCCTGTCTGGAAGATTCTAAGACTATTATTACACCCTTGGAGTTTAGGAACGACATTGGGATGACCTGATATAGTGAGCTTGCCAATCTGCAAAATAATTTATTTAGTAAGCTCTGGGGAATTTCTGTTTTCTTTTTGTTTATTATAGCTCCTTGTCTATATAACGCCCTTCTTTCAGGAATGCCCACTATTCATATATTAGATCTCCTAGATGAGTCATTCAAAATTTTTATAGTTTCTTCATGCTTTCCAAATATCTATAAAATTGTCTTCCAAGCCACAAATTCTGGCCTCATCGGTGGCCATCTTTTCTTCAATTTATCTAAGACATTTCGTATATTAAAAAACAAAACAAAACAAAACAAAACAAACATTGAGTTTTAGAATAAAAAGTTGCCTGTGCTGTAATCAGATATCTGTAAGTGTTCCTATATTTTTACCAAGAGTGAGGAATGGAGAGTTCAAGCTATTATTTGCTTCCTCCTCAGTTCTTTTCACTAGATGATACCTAATCTAGTTTTCCACTTGTTTTCCTTCTCTAGGGCTACTGGGTTTCTTATATGGATTGTTATTTTTTCTTGCATATTCTTTGGGGTTTGGACCCAGCTGCCAGGTCACCTTAAAAGGAACAAAGTTCTAGATGGAAAGCATGGTGAGCTCCAGCCAAGTTGTCATCCCCTGCTGATGCACCAGGAGGTAGTCTCCTCTCTCTCTCTCTCTCTCTCTCTCTCTCTCTCTCTCTGTCTCTCATTCAGTGACCCAACCTGCCTTTTCTTCTCTCTGTCATTTTCAGTAACTTTAGAGGTTTTTACTTACATGGATGAATTATATAGTGGTGAAGTCTGGGTTATTGATGTATCCATTACCCAAATAGTGTACATTGTACCTAACAGGTGATTTTTTTAATCCCTTACCCTCCTCCCAGCCTCCCCACTTCTGAGTCTTTCAACATTCCTTACACCACTGTGTATGCCTTTGCCTACCCATAGCTTGGCTCTCACTTATAAATGAGAACATGCAATATTTGGTTTTCTGTTCCTGGGTTACTTCATCTAGGATAATGGCCTGTACAGCTCCATCCAAGTTGCTGCAAAATACATTATTATTACTATTATTATTATTATTATTATTATTTTGAGACTGAGTCTCCCTGTGTCGCCCAGGCTAGAGTGTAGTGGCGCGATCTCCACTCACTGCAAGCTCCGCCTCCCGGGTTCACGTCATTATGGTTGAGTAGTATTCCATGGTGTATATATATGCCACATTTTTCTTATGCATTCATCAGTCGGTGGGCACTTAGGTTGGTTCCATGTCTTTGCAATTGTAAATTGTGTTGTGATAAACATATGAATGCAGTCTTTTATATATAATGACTTCTTTTCCTTTGAGTAGATACCCAGCAGTGGGATTGCTAAATCGAATTGCATTTTTAAAAAGTCAAAAAACAACAGATGTTGTGAAATGGAAACGTTTATGCTCTGTTGGTAGCAATGTAAATTAGCACAATATCTATGGAAAACAGTATGGTGATTTCTCAACCCACCTTTTTAACTTTCCCACATCCCCCTAAAGGACTGAGATGATGAGTTCCTCCAGACAATCACACAGGTGGTAATATGCTTCCTTCTTTAGCAGGCCCAACAGCCCCTTCACCCAGCTATCTTCTTGGATCCCGCTGTTCTAATCCCCACCCAAGGACTCCATGCCACCAGTCCCTAGGTTCTCTCTAGTGGCTGAGGGGGGAAAGAAAATCCCATGATGCCATTGTCCACTGGACCCAGGCAGGGCTGAGAACTCACATTCCCCAGATACTACTTCCTGCTGGGCTTAGGAGAGGTAACTCATGGTTGAATTGGAATTGGAAAGGAAGAAGTCTGGGTTGAATTTAAGCTGTCATATTGCCACTAACCATTTCAACTGAGACAGGAGTTTTGTATTCTAAACTCCATGAATGGGATCCATGATGTCCTGAAATTGCCATCGAATCCTATCTATCTATCTATCTATCTATCTATCTATCTATCTATCTATCTAT